TTGTAACATTGAATGAATGTCATTTTGGATAACATGGTATCAAAGTTATGGATGAATAAGAGCTATAGACAAACAATAACTTGATGGATGAATAATTGCTAGTTGAGTAAATAGTTGTCATGGAGTTTTTATTAAAAGTTATTTGCTTGCTACCAACTCTTTCTAATTATTATTTTTGCTATTAGCTCCAATTGCTATTGAAGTTGAAAAAATGTTGTTTTTTCTTCATCATGGCTTAATATCACTACCTTTTCTATTGAAATTTAATACAATATTTTTTAATTATTCTACTACTGATGACATAAGATTTATTATTATTGAATAATCTTTTGGTTTACTACTGTTGCATTTTTTGTATTAATAATGGCATCATCTTCAACCAAGTATCACATTAATCAATTGAATAAAAACAACTATGGCACGTAGATATTTGTTATAAAGAACTTGATGTGCTTACATAAACTCTACATATTTGTAGATAAGACATTGCAATGTCCTACAATTATGGACAAGAAATTAAAATGGAAGTTAAACAAGGCATAAGCACATGCATTGATTGCCTTCAATATGAAGTCTTTGTAGTTGATACACATATGCAAATGGAAGGAAACAAAAGAAATGTTGAATATTCTAGCTAGATCTACAAGTCATTAGAGGTTATTACTAAGATTTTTTTGATAAAAAAACTCCACAATTCTTAGTACTTTGATGGTGAGCCTATAAAGAGTTTTTTTAGCTAAATCTTTGACCTTAGAAATCAATACATTTAGTTCAATAGTAAAATAGTCAAACAAACTATGGCTTTTTTTGTACTTAATGTATTGCAAAAGTCATGGAATTTACTTATTTAATTAATTGCATTAAAAAAAATTAAAAAATCACAAAAAAGATTATATAATCTATATTCCTTAAAAAAGAGATATATATAAAAAAAAAATAAAAATAAAAAATAGTAGCTCTGTTTTTTTTTTGCTTTAGCAATGCATATAGGAGAGCAGCAACTCTTGAAGAAGTAAGATCTATGACAAAAGCAAAAACCAAAGATTGATAAATCTAAAAGCAGTTGCAAGGTTTGTAAATATAAAGAATATTAGTAAGGTGATTCTTATGATTATAAAGTCTGAAAATAATTATATAAGTTATAAGCAATAATTACATTATTATTTCAATTATGCCATTATGTTTGTGTTGATAATGTAGTAGATTTATACATCCAAAGAAGAAGGAATAAGTTTCTCAACTTCAATGAAAATGAGACCATCAAACTATAAGGCTATAATAGTGGCATCAAAAAATCACAAGGTTCATATGAAATGCACCTTATAATTTTGAACCTTAAAAGGAAATGCATTCTTGTAGTTACAAAGAATGTATATTAGATTCTTAGAGCACGTGACATATTCTTATTAGCCACAATCTGGTGCAAAAAAAATTATAAATTTAGTTTGGATGACAATAGAATTAATTGGATCTTTTCTTCAAATGACTTATTTATGCAAGACATGCTCAATGATAAATCTTATCTTATATCTTTTGAAATTGAAGAAGTTGTAATTACTAGTTCATCTATCTTAGATTGTATGCTTATTGAATAGCATCAAGTATTAGCATATACTTCAATGCATACAATACAAGAAACAAAGAAAATGAATAGTATCTAAGAATTGAAGATCAAGGGTAAGAAAGATAAAGTACCCACATGTAAATCATGCATTATTAGTAAGGCTTAAATATAATCTTTTCTATATAAGCAAAAGCTTGCCAATTGTATTCTAAATGTAGTAGTATTTGATATTAGTAATTCAAATATAACTAATTTTGATGGTACAAAATGGTTAGCTTTGTAGATTGACAGATACTTTGATTATTGTAGCCTTATATTTCTACAAACTAAAGATTAGGTGCATGTTGCTTAGAAGAATCATAAAATAGAGCTATAAAGAAGAACCAAACGAAATATGATATTTTCTTATTAATCATGGCATTGAGCTCTTAAATTATAAATTTGGTTCACATTTTAAGGTTGAAGACATTTGATACATTTATATTCATGTATATATACATGAGATTGTTGACATGGTAGAACATATGATGTGAATTATCTTTGAAAGAGTACAAATATTCTTAGATGATACCAATCCAAATCATTGATAATCAGCATTTACTTAAACTCACAATTATCTTTTATTTGCAAGATTTGTTCATAAAACACTGTATGAAGTTTTCTACAATAAAAAAAATCTTCTATTAGATATTCTTATCATATTGGTTATCTTGCTTGGTATCACATATCAATTGCAAAGTGTCAAAAGGTTAAGTCAAAGGCGAAGAAAGGTATTTTTGTTAGATATTTATATGTCAGAAAAAAAATAGGAGATTTTTTTTTATTTGATAAGAAAAAGATAATTTTTAGTTGAGATATAGTTTTCTTTGATAAAAAGGACAAGTTGTTTGAAGAGCCACCAACTCTTGAAGAGAGAAGGTAGGGGGCAAAAATCTTCACGAAATTTCTTTTTAGGGATAAGTTTCTAGCTTTTAAAGATATCTTACACCTTTTTTCAATTGAGAACTAAATCCCACTTTTAGAAGAAGAGTGTTGAATAGTATTATAAAGATTGTATTATAAGCTGGGACTTATTTAATACATGATCAAAGTTTCACAAAGTACCACCTTTTTCTTTTTAGTGCATTTGTATTTGGAACATTGGATGATTGTTTTTTTTGTAACACCATCTTTGGATCTCAAAAGAATAGTTGTTTCAATTGTGCCAAGTTACTTATTTGAAAAATTCTATTTAAACAACCTTATATAATATTGTTGTTACTTTGTTGTTGAGTTTAAGACTTAGCACCTTTCAAGATGTGCTCTTCTAATGGATTGTACAAAACATGTGTGAGAGGATAAATATTGATCCAATTGGCATTTAAATTTATGTCTTGCCTTTCTTATCTACAAGCAAAATTTCTAGACTAATTGATTAAGTATTGAAATATTGGTTTAATTTTTGCAATATGTGAGCAAAAAAAGTTGGTTTGGTTGGCAGAAGTATATTTATAAATTTATAATTTCAATAAATTGGTAGCTAACTATATAGTATCATTGTGATTCTTCATTGCTTGAAGTTTATATTATAAATACACTATATATGCCTTCAAGAAAATTAGTGAAAGACAATTCCAGTCTTTTTATTGTTACATGTTCATTTCGTTTCTTGATTTGTTATTCTAAGGATTGATGTAAGTTGTAATAGATTCATTATCATTATAGGTCTTTATTACCATTTTAAAAGAGTTTTTATTATTTACATATTAATATATATTACATTATTAAAACTTTAAGATATTTATTAATTTGGTTGTTGATTAATTAATAAATTTTCTATCTATTTTAAAATTAGATCTATAATGTAATTTGAAACATTATTTTAATCACATTGAAGATTAAGAAATCAATTTTTTTATTCCATCTATATTTGATAATTATTGTATTAATTAGTTATGATAAATTGTATCTTAGAAATATACTATGTAGTTTTAGATTTGTTTTCTTTGAAATTTTTTAGATTTTAAAATTAAAATAGAAACATCTTATTAATTAGATCTTTACCAAGTATGGCTTGTATTCTTCAAGAAGTTTTCTTATTATATTTTTTTCACATAGTGTGAATAAAAGAAAAATTATGTCTAGCTTTTTTCTTATATATAAGTATTAATTAATAATTACTTTAATATGATCTTATCATTCATATATATATATATATATATATATATATATATATATATATTAAAGAGTTGTATATATATTCTTCTCTTATATATATTCTTCTCTTTGAGTTTTATGAGAAGATTCGGTTATAACAATGTATCAAAAAAGAAAGAAAATAAATAAATAAATAAATAAATAACAAAAAACAATTTTAAAATGAACATAAGATCATATGCAAATTAAATTAAGATTTATCTTTAAATACCTAAAAATATAGACCACATATTTAGATACCTTCTAATTGGTCATTTTTTTTTTGTAGAAGATATTTTTGGGATAATCTTGAGAAAATATTATCTATAATTAGATTTTAAAGAAAGCCTAATATTTGTAGGAGAATTTGTACCACGTACAAAAAACCTTTATCAATAGTTCTTTCTTTTCATTTGTTAAAAGAAAGTTCTCATCAGTAGATAAATAATTAGTTGATTTATATTATTCATTAAAATAAAAGTATCTCAATAATCATTGTTGAAGTTAAATTTTTTAACTATAAATTCTATAATCTTATTAGACTTCTAATCGTTCTACAAACTCTAAAATCATATTTTCATCTTTTAATTCAAATAAATTATTAAATAAAATAATATGTTAAACTTGATATTAATTCAAAGAAAGAAGAAAAAAAAAACATACCCATAAACTAGCTCGTTGATAAACAGATACTTTAAACAAGATATTAAAATATTATTTTAACCTATCTCAAACAATTCTCTACCACAAATCATAACTTTTTAACAAAGTCTTTTTGACTACTTGTAATTGCTTTATTCAGCCAAAATTATTATGAAATTTCATTGATGTTAGTCAAAAAGAACTATTCACTGTTATATCTCGGAGATTTATAATTTCTTTTTTAAGCCATCTTGCAAGAACCATGTGTCATTACTCAAAAGAATCTTATAACAAGCTTTGAGTGAATTTTTGAGGAGTTCCAAGAGATTACGAAGTCTTTTGAAAGTGTTCAAAGAAGCACTGTACAAACATAATAATAAAAGAATTGTGAATTGTGAAAAAAGACAAATGGTGCCTTTTGAGTGTGATCAGCTAATCGTGGAAATAAATGTGAGGTGAAAATAAAAATAAAACTAATTTCAAAAATAGTTTTTCAACCACAATCAATTACCTTCTAATGATATCTGCGCCCTGATCAAAAAAATTAGTCATTTGTCATAAGTTGAAACGTTTCAAAGCTTCCTTACCACAACTTGCAAACCCCGAAGAACGAACTATATCTTAAAGATTCGTTCAAGCCATAACTGCTAAAGTAGCTTTATTTGGTCGATTCTTAATTGATCCACATTGCTTAAGAGCATGTGTTGAAATTCAGAAGAGAAAAAACTCGATTACCACTTCGGATTCTGTGCACAAACTCGGGCCTCAGAAATGCACATGAAACAGCATTTGAAACATCTAGAGATCAACTTGAGCCACTCATAAATTATTTGACAGCCTACAGTACATGAATCTAAAAACATTATTAGTAACTCCTGACATGCTGTCACATTGTCAAACTGACTTGACCTCGGTTTTGAAGGCCCACGCTTCAGCCAAATCTCATCGCAGAAAAGGAGTCTTTTGACGCAAAACACCAAAAGTGACAACAGGCTGACTCCTTACCAACGTCTGCACGTATCTGAGCCTCAAGAGTATCAGAAGAAAAATTGGCCTGAACCCTGAGATGAATCTCCTTCAACGAATTCCCACTGTCACACAGTACCAGCATGAATAAACTTATTATGCACCACAACTTCCAACCATGGAAAGAAAGTAGTTTTAATAGAGGCGACCGACTTACTTTACAATGACAATCAATTTAGTTAACATGAAACTTAAGGGATCTAAAGATGTATACCTCAGGGTTGCTATTTTCTAATTCATGAAGCGTTAAGGGTCTGAGTCCTCCCAGAGGCATAAACCGTCGCCCCCGAGAGCCATGACCTTCTGTGGTGGCCATAAACGATGTTCTTAAGTTTCCAATAAAAGAAATATTCGGCAGGTAAGGGATGGACCTGCTATCAGGATACAGTGATCAGCCAGTGCTAATCAAAAAAAAAAAAAAAAAAAAAAAAAAACGTATTTAGTATGTAGCGTTTCTCAGAATATCTGACAGGGGATATGAAGCGATTGAGAATATAAGATGAAACATAGCCACCAAACAACACCCCCTATTCCCCAGGAGGAACCTCGCAATGTCCCATGACCTCTTTGTTGACCTGACACTCCTCATCCTCGTAGTCCAGTATTCAGTTGGTTCTCAAATATTTCTCAAGTCAAGTAACTCCTGTGATTATCCTCTGAGCGCCTGCTTGTCCGAGCCTTCACACTCTCGGAATCTCCAGAGTGCCGACTAGCATGAGAGTGACGGCCCCCCCGGGGAGTATGGCTGCCATTGTCATAAGAGTCACCATATTCTGACTCTGCCTCAAAACCTTCCTGTTGTCGATCTAAACTCAGTTGATATTCTTTTCTGATGTTCCATAACTTCTCCTTGGCCTCTTTCATATTAGGGCGATCAACTTTAGTAGGTGCTGAACAAGAAAATGCAAGCTCAAATACGCGCTCCAAAATCAACAAAACGGCAGCTGTTAACTGAAGCTTTGGATCAATAATAACCCTCAGCCTTCCCTCCAAATATTGTTTAAAGGCCTGAAAAAAAGAAAAATAAATAAATAAAAAAGAAACGTAAACGTTTCAGAAAGATCGATTGCACTAAAACCAGCAAGTGATCACGACATTAAAAAGTTCATTGATAGAGCAATCAAAACCTGGTCTAGATCCAGCCATGCGACCAACCTAACTCTAACACCGTTCACCTGGGAGTTGGTTAATGTGCTCCGCGAGCGTAAACAGGATCTAAAAGTGGACACGAGATGGGAGCACAAGGACCCAAGCGCTTTTAAATCTGCGGACCAACAGACTGAAGAACCAAAATAATCGCTTAAAGAAATGAGAACACAACAGGCGTATATTCACCTGGATCAGGCTCTTACTATAATAAAAGCACCATACACTGTAAGGAACGTGCTTCGGGTAGAAAAGTAATATGGCTCATAGCACTCTAGATCAGGTAGGGTGTTACCTATTCTACAGGTTCCAAGGTGGTCACAAGCTAGACATACACAGATGTGTGTATATATATATATATAAAGGAAGGACTCTCCTAAATACCACGGTGCTTGTATTTCTCAGAATTAACGTGAATAAGCTCACTTGAGGAACTATTATGTTAATCAAGCTTATTTTATTTATATCTGATCAACTCTGAATTTCAGGGTGAAAAATGCAAAATCTACCACGTAACAGAGTCAGTACGTGTAAGCAACACTGTGAATAACATTGAGAAGTTCGAAACATCTGCCATCCAAAAAATTCAACAAAGTGCAATAGAGAAGTGAAATTACCCATCTCACGGTCACTCGCTCATCACTAGGACGACTCAGCTCTATAGGGCGCCTCCCTGTGAAAAGCTCGACCAGCAATATCCCAAAAGAGTATACATCACTTTTCACGTTCAGTTGATACGTTGTCAAATACTCTGGGTCCAAATACCCTGCGGTCCCCTTAACTTGCGTAGAAACATGTGTAGCACCTTCCCCCGAGGGACCAGCTCGAGAAAAACCGAAATCGACAACCTTAGCGCGAAAGCTATCAGTGAGTAGAATGTTGGAAGACTTGACATCTCTATGGATTATAGGCCTGTCTGAAAACACCAAATAGCAGAAAACATGTGAATGTGTCAACTGTTGACAAGAAACCGAATCGACTGTATTGATTTCGCATAAATCTCATCACATATGAAGCGAAGACATTGTCGGGGCAACCAAATGTCCCAGTACTAAGCATCTTTGTATCTCCGCTGCACTGTGGGTATTTCTCTATACTAGAAGGGAGAAGTCCAAGTCAAAGATCTTTGCTACACATTTTAAAAGTCCAAGTCAAAGAACAGTTACCAGTATAATAGTGAAGGTATGTAAGAGCTTGAGCCACATCGATGGCAATATTCAAGCGGGTGCTCATGTCCAGAATAATCCCATATGGAACGCCTACAAAAACTCACCCATCGCCTCTCATAAGATTAAATCGAGCAATGAAACAAAAACCGCGACAGTTGTATCGAAACAGCATTCATTAGGGGAACAAAGTACATAATCATGTGAAGCTGGTTACAAGAGGGCAATTTCCTTTCCTGACGAAAACAATCATTTGGTATCCTAACTGATATGCTATTATATCTGATACATGCTGGCATCAAAACAGAGAAAGAGTGAAAATCTCGAGACTTTTCGTACAGAATTACAGTAGCAGATGAGAAATAAGGCCTCTAAAGCACTTCGAGACAAGACATTCAACCTAGGTTTTATGTCTCCAGGCTGTACCGTCAAGATGTTGCCTCAAATTTCCATTTGTCACATACTCAGTCACAAGAAGGCGCTCATTCTTCTCCTCCACGAAGCTTATGAGCTTCACCAAGTTCAGGTGCTCCACTTGAGCTAAAACTTCAACTTCGGTCTGAAATTCCTTGGAGACTCTTTTCTCAAATGCATCCTGACACCAGAGAAACATCCACTCCTTCAGAATCCCAACCATAGAAAGTACAGTACAAGTAAAATAGAACATGATTAAATAAACATAGGGTCAGAAAAATCCATATTTCACAATAATGAATCCCATCTCAAGGCCCTCGACCAATGTTACCTTCTTGGCTCGCTTGATAGCAAGCACAGTACCATCTTTGAGCTTCCCTCGGTAAACCTTGCCAAAACCTCCTTGTCCGATCAAGTGGGACTCGGAAAAATTACCAGTAATTTTGTTCAATTCAGCAATTGTAAACTTCACCATTCCCCCAGTCTTTCCCTGTTGGAATCCAGGACTTGGGGAGTTAGGTATGCTGATTGAATGATGGCTCGACCGATCTTGAGTCGTTAATTCTGCGATAGTAAACCATGCAGGTCATTCAACATGTCACATGTGCGCATCAGTGAAGCAAGATAGTGTTCTTATTCACAGAGCCGTCACTCCTTCAGTTGATGCAATTCCGAGATTTTATACATTGTGTGCTAACGCGTTTACTGGCCGATTAATGTCTTAAGAGATTCACGGAGGATGTTCCAATTCTTTAAGGCCAACAATACAGCTTAAATACCAAAATCCCACTGCGAATCCAACTTCCGTAGCCAGATACCCTCCGTGACCGCTGCGGAAGTCTAAATCAACAAATGCACCAAGTCATGTGGCATGATTGACTAGCTCACCTTCGGTTGGGGACTGTCATAAACAAGAGACGACCAACTTGATCTTGAAATGTACTTCAACAGATTTTAAAACAAGGGATACTAGACTGATCCGAACGGAAGAAAAAAGAAGAAGAAGAAGAAGAAGAAAGGAAAAAAAAAAAAAAGAAAAAAAGAGAGAGACTAGAGAAAGACTTGCCTGAGTCAGGATCCCCCTTGGAGCTGTCCACATAGTCTGGATCTTTCTTCCGCTTCCGCAGGCACGGCATGCAATCCATCGAAAATGGATTCCTCAAAACAAGTAAAAGCTGAAAGATATCCAGCGTTCTCGCCTGAACACCACAAAACCCCTGCTGCTTTAGGATCAAAGCTTCAATTCCAATACCACGTCTCAGCTCCAGAAGCGCCCGACGCCCAACGCCCGACGCCAGCTGTAGCGAGTGCACCACTTTCCCTTCACTTACACCACTCGAACAAAACCAATCATGTTCCGAAAACGCCGGCGGCCAAATCGAAGAAGCTCATTCGCAGTTGACCATCACTCCGATGAATCTCCAACGCCTCGTGTTCGTCACCCTTCACATATTCAATCATCCAAAACAAGTGCGCCTACCCAAACCACCTAAAACTGGTCTCCACAACAAACCCCCTCAACCAAATTTTGTCCCGTCAATCATGATCCATTCACAAGATTCTCACAACCCATCTCCTTCGTCGCAATCCTTCTCATTCCTCCACCAGCTCCGCCACCCTCCTTCTCAAACCGACTTCACCACAACCTTAAACGCACCACATCCCACACCCAACCCCAAAACAAAACCCCATGCCTACCAAAGACCCTCTTAGAAAAAGTGAAAGAAGAAGAAGAAGAAGAAGACGAAGAAAGAAAGAGTAGGAGGAGAAAAAAGTTTTAAAATTAACAATTAACAATCAAAACCCAAGAAGAAAATACGAAACACTGCGACTGTAACGACTACACAGTGGTGGAGGCACGCAATCGGAGCAACTAAAAGCGAGGAGTGAAAATTAGGCAGCGTTGGACGGTTGGTTGAGCCAATTCTTTCAGCGATGGCGCGGTTTCCAGGAGTGTGAGCATTGACGGAGCATGAGGTGCAGCGCAGTTGCTCCCTCCCTCCCCTCCATGGACGACGACCACGCACGCTCGTTGCAACAGCGCGGTCGGACGGACGAACGGACGGACGGAGGGGTCTACGTCCTTCTCCCCCCCTCCCCCATCCAGGCTCACTCCAACTCACACTCACTGCACATGCCTCCCCAGCCCTGACTGCCAGGCTGTCTGTCTGCGCGGGCTGGGCTGGGTGGTCCGGCCCCCGAAAACCCACTTTTTCCATCGTGCGGTCTCTGCACGTCTGACCGGAGGCGCTTCCCGATCTCCCCCTCACTTATCTGGAACTGCACGGTTCGTCGTTCTACCCCATGGTTGGATGGATGTGTTGACGAATGTACGCATGGTTCTATGGATGAATGTGTGGGTAGAGTCCCCCGCTGCCCCGCCCCCACCATGGAGTCAATGCACACTCTTCTTCTGTCTTGTGGTCTTCAAAGGGGGGGGGAGTTTTTCCTCGGAAACATCAAAATGGTTGACTTTCTATCGGAGACTTCTTCTGCTTCTGCTTCTTCTTCTTCTTTGCATACCCACATACGGTGGTAGTGACTTTCTCTTCAAAACTTATTGTATGCAGGGATTATTGTTTGCCGATACAGTAAGAACTTCATTAATTAGTTGGAATAGCAATTATTGTTGCCGACTGCTTTTTCTCCTGTTTCATTGGCTACTTTTTCAAAATGATATAAAGTTTTCCTTAATTTCTGAAGAATGCTACCTTCATTGGTATATTGTTCTTAAATGAGAACAGCAACCGCTCAAGCATTGATTGTCAAAGGTTGAGAATGTTTTGGGCATGTAGTGAAAATATTTTTTGGTTAGCTCTCTATCTGTTTCATTTCAAAATGAGGCATGAAATTCTTTTTATCATTCATATGCAATACATGACGAAATCTTACCTAATTTCCAATTTTAAATGGGATTATATTTTATATAATAGAAATATTTAAAAAAAATTAATATTCTACTTCCAAAAACTTCTATTGATGGATTATCAAAAAAAAATTAAAGTATCAATGTATATATATATATATATATATACATACATTTATTGATTATGGATGATTATGGATGATTATGCTATATTATAGTAAAACTTCTAGTAATAAAATAAATATAAATTTATCTAATTGATATTTCAAATGGCAAAATGTTTACATAACTCCAATACTCAATGTGAATATTTTCTTTTCCTATTAGTATGAAGATAACAAGATGTAGAAATTCTAATTTCTACTTTTAAAATCTTAAAAACCATCTTTCAAAACCTTTCCACAAATTGAGGTCTTTAATCAATAAATATTTTAGTTTAAATTTTATAATATAGATAAAGGTTGTTAAAATAAAATTTAAATACTATACAATGTATAATAGCTTAAGAAGAATAAAATAGATGTTAATGGATCTAAATTTAGGAATTATTTTGCATTTAAAGCACATGTAATTGTCCTTGATATTTAAGAAGATTTAAATGTGTTTCAAAATAAAGGAGATTATTTCTAAAATCGAATTCAATCAAAGAATTGTTAAAATTAAAATTAAATAAATAAAAATATATTTAAACAAACATATTTAAAATTTTATATTTGGATTTATTTTTAAATTTAAGATATCAGCTAAAAAAATATCAATTTGACTTGGTCAATGAAATATAAATATTAATATTTAATAACTCCTATAATGAATTATTCTTTGGTCAAAAATATTTTAAGACAAATGATAATAATAGATTTTATAGTATAAGTTGCTATGAATATGACTAATAATTTCTAACAAATTATTCAAATAAAAAAACTTAAATATATAATAATCAGTACTATTTAGATTATTTGGTTTTAAAGAAATAATTTAGAGATTATTTTAGCATAAATTTAATAAAAAATTCTAATATGGCTTTATAATAAAAAAAATGACAAAAATATTACTCAAAAAATAAATTATATTAAATTTAAATTTAAAATAAATATTTTAAATTTTATTTAAAAAATTAATTTATATTAACAAAAAAAATTGTCAATAAAAACTCATTAATTTATAAAATGATAATCAAAATTTCAAATTAGATGTTTAAAGTTATGGACATACACAATTACCTAGATAAGAAATATTAGATAGAAGTAAATATAGGTACATTTGCTAATATCTTTAAGAAAAGCCTCATAGATGTAGATTTGAATTTGTTTGTGTTTATAGTTCATTAATAGGTATAAAACTTGGTAAACAAGTTGGCCACATATTGCATGTATTGGCAATTTGTGGCACAAGTTGGCTATGTGGCATACATATAAAAAACTTGTCTTATAAGTTAGACACATGTTTTGTAAGTTTAACATGTGTCGAAGGTCCTATAGAATGTTGCCATATAGCTCCTAGTTTAATAGTATATATTGAAGCAAGAGTGAAGCCTTCTTTACTCTTGTTCCCACCTTTCTTGTTCTTAGTTTTGCTTTAAGAGTCTCTAGTTTTTATTTTTGATAATAGCCATTCTAGTTTGATTATTATACTATCTTTTATTAAATATTTATTGTTTTGAGTGATACAAGATTATATTGAGGTTTTTATCATTTTTAATTTACGTCTTTAACAATTTGATAAGAATGCTATTTCACTATACTTGATTTAATTCAAAAATGAATCAATTCTAATACTTCTTTAGTTGTATTTTTGAAAAAATAGAAAAAAAATTATGCATGCTACACTTGGCAAAAGTAAGAATGGATTTGCTAACTACTATATATCTTCACAAGTTTATCAATATTCTTAGAGTAAAAATCTTATATAATTCTAATGTCTATTCCTATGTCTATTCTGGACATCAACAATAAAGTTCAATTTCTATGCCAAGAAATTATGCAATTGAGAGAAGCAAGTAGATTAAATTTATAATTGAATTAAAAATTTGAAATTTAAATTTTTTTATTACTATAAATATAATAGAAGCAATAATTAATATGCAAGAGAAGTTACACAAAACAAGATCAATATTTTGAAGATTTTCACAACAAATATAGTTCTTTCTAAGGTTGCATCTTTCTTAATATCTTAATAGATTTACTTAAGTTCGGTTCATAGGCACACTTATATTGGAAAGTGCTCTTTTATAATTTATACTTTTGATAGAAAAAATAATTTATGATTCCTTTATAATTTCAATTAATATTTATGAGTATTTATAGCCATATTTTATTGCAAATATACACATTTATTCTAATATTTATTTAGATAATATAAATAGATAAAAGTAAATAAAAATATGTTAATTTAATAATTTATATTTTTTAATAGTTATTTTAATTTATTTTTAATATATATACTTTTTTATTTCTATTTCTGAAAAAGAATGTCACTTATTTATTTGCTTTCATTAAATTCTTGTCCTTGACAAATTAACAAGAATACACTTATAATATCAAAGCATTGATTTTTATTTTTATTTTTTTTTATTAAGGCTAAATTATTTCTTTCTCTTGATAAGACATAAGTATATTAGAAGTTGCGGATTAACCACTTCTAAACTAATATTGTTCTTAGACTTTCTTTAATTTTTTAAGCTTTTCTCCTACTTACTATAAAAGATATTAGATATCTTCTTTTCATTAGTGTTATTATGGTAAAACAAGTTGAAATGAAGAATACAATGACATAAATGCAAGAACAATTGAATGAGTTAATGCTTATAATACATCAATTTAATATACTACTACTAAAAGTATTAAGATTGACAGGAAGTAAAGATATAAAGATGATTGGAGTTGCTTCAATATCTATACTAGGTCATACTATTCCTGCTATAATAGAACACCATTCAAGCATTAGAAAACCAAGAATTATCCTACTCAAAAAGTTTGATGGCATAAGATTAAAATTTTAAAGATTCATTAATCAAATACAAGAAGTGATTGAACTTCAACTCCAAAGTTATCTAACTCCAAGATCACAAACAAGGTTTATTGGAACAGCACTTTGAAGTTCTACATTATCATGGTTTTCATCTTTTTTTTAATGATGTGATCCAATATTGAATAATTTAAAGAATTTTTTGATAGAATTTTGATTAATGATTAAAATTTTTGTCTTAAAATTAATAAATAAATAAAATAGATGAATCAAGTTTAAAAGTAGTATTTAAAATATATTATCAATTACTATCAAGATGATTGAACAACTCTTTTGCCATTGGAAAAATTTGCATATAATAGTATAATATATTCTTATATTCAACAAATACCTTTTTATCTTAATTATGGTTATGATCTATTATTTAATACTTTTAACTTTTCAAAAGCTGACAATCTTTTTGCAAAAGTTTTAACAAATTATCTATTAGAGCTATATGCAATAATGAGGGCATAATTAAAAGAGGCAAAAAACCAATGTAAAAGCCTATTGCAAGGAACAACTTTAATTTTATGTAAACAACACTATATGATTATTTTGTCATATTAGTAGGACTAGATACTTTTGTGATAAGTTGAATTATTGTAAACTTAAGCCATTTTCTATTAGTTAATAAATCAATCTTTTCATTTATTAATTACACTTATAAAAGTCTATAAAGATTCATTTCATGTTCCACATTTGTTTTTTAGCCATATAAGATAGTGGATATATTGGGAAGAAAATAAATGGCATGTCATCTCATAAAAATAGATAATAATCAATAATTTGAGGTTAAAAAGTCTTTGACTTAAAAGCAATGCCAAAATATATTGAAACATCTTATATACTAGTAAAAGTATAATATCAGTAAATACACATAAATATCAACCAAGAATCTTGCAAATACAATAAATAAGGTTGATACTTTTTATCAATAAAATCTATTAAAATAAAAATAAAGAATCAAAAAAAAATTTAGTATAAAAGAAACTAGATTTAGTGAATATTACA